CACAGGGATTCTGGCACAGACTTCCACCTGTGGCTCACAGCCAGCACCAATCTTCCTCGACTGGGAAAGGAGCCAGCCCTTGGTAGCTGTGGGAGGGGGGACGAGTTGTCCCTACATTGCACAGCCAAGCCAGAGCAGAGCTGGGCCCCACACTTTATCTGAGCTGAGGATCTTTGGTCCAGCCTGTCTCTGCAGCAGAGCTCAGGAAAAAGGATACATATACATCATAATTTCAAAGAGTTGTTTCTGTTGGAGGAGAGATAACCAAGAAACAAGCAATTCAAGAGGAAGTYCCATTAAGATTCAAGACTAGCCCTTTGTCCACTAAAYACAACATAAAACCACGGAATGGTTTGGGTCAGAAGTGATCTTTAAGATCATCAGTTCCCACCCTGCTGGTAAAGACACAAAGCTTTCACATTCATAACACTGTTATTGTAAAGTATTTAATATGAAACTTTTATAAAGAAAGTTTTGTAACTTCATCAATGGCTCAAAAATACATTGTCATTATGAATTTTATCACACYCCTCTCTTGGACAAGTGCTTAAATGGACTGGTTTGCCAAATGCAGGTATTGATGTTTTAACATATCAAAAACATTACAGAAGGAATCTTGCTTTATATAAAAGTTACCCCTTTCTGAGAAAAACTCAAACTTTCTCTTTTTTTTTTAATTTTTTATTTTGTAATTTAAAAAAATAAATCTCATACTTTAAAAGCTTAAACTGTTRTGAAACACTAGCTGTGACTTTACAGTGGACTGTAAATAGAGAACTCATCCATTCAGATACAATTCTAATATCACACAAGGCACAGGTCARTTAATTTTTGGAACAACTARTTTTTAAGGGATTTTWAAAAAGCAGAAGTTATGAAAAGTCATYAAGAAGRAATATGTTGCAGAATCAAATAGTCTCCTATATCTTCTGCCTCTTCTCAAAAATTTTATATTCGAGTGATTTGGGACTATGAAGTTTACTGTAAGTTTTAAGTTTCAGTCGGTTCTGTTTAGTAAAACTTCAGGTTTATGACCATATTACTTTATTACTTTATGTATGTTTCAGATTATAAAACTACTATAGTTAGCAGTTAGCTGCCTTTTTGTAGTATTTCTGACACAGTCAGAACTAAAACATTACATACTGTTCTCTCAATAAAAGAAGTTTGGGAAAAAACATTAGGACACTGTTTATGTCAAACAGTTTTAAAAAGCTTTAAACTGCAAAACACTTGTAGAGCAAGTTTTCTACCAAGAYACACAATATTCACCTACAGAGGGGAAAAAATACAGAATTATTTGATTACCTGTCCTTGCCAACTAAGATTAAGTGAGAACCACAGCTCTTTTCTTAAACAAAAATWAAGGTTCATCAAGGTCTAAGAGATAATGGGGTCACCTAAAATGTAAACAYTACTTACACCTGCCACAGGATAATGTGAGAGTAGATAGCTATTAAACCATCTTAACTCTTGAAAGCTGGTGCTTGGATATATGCCACAGAAAACTAGTCTACCAAGACACACATTCCTGACCTCAAGATTGTTTCTGGAACAAAAACCTCTGTTATGTGTAAACTTCTTATCTTTGCTATGCCTGCTAAGAGTAACACAATATATCCCTTTTCCCTTAAATTGTATTTAGTAATGTATCCTTAAATCAAGGTTGAAAAGCAGCTACACATTCTAAAAGATGCGTCCTGGTAGTATCAAGCCTGACGTCTCAACASAAGTTTAAGACAGTTTTCCTTAAACATCATTTAACAGGTAATACCTTTTACAAGATCACATGAAATACCTCTGCCATTAATGTTCTTGCCTTACTTCCAGCTCCTGGCTTACTTTGTTATTACTCTCATTCATTGCAGCTCAAAGACCCTGGCATCAAGTTAAGAACATTAGGTGCTCTTAAAAAGGTTATTTTAAGATGTTATTCCCCTTTCTAGCTCTTCTGTAAACTGACATTTGTTAATTCAAAATAAAGCCTTACAGCTTCAGTAAAGCACAGTACCTTTATTTAGTACACACACAGTCTGCCCACAATTGCAGTTTACCATCTCTAACCAATCTTCTTTTACGAGAAGAGTGTTACGAAAGAAGCAGTCTGCGCCAACCTTTCTAACCTAAACACTGTCACTCCAGACAGGTACCACACTTTGCCATAAATAGAACAGTGAGAGCTTGAGAAGCTCCAAGTCCAAGATCTATTTTACCTTTTACCATTTGTTTCTCTTTTTATTAATATTTCATCACAACATTTCCAGAAAATGCAAGTATCMAATACTGACAACACCAATAAACCCTCCTTTTAGTATTATGTGCAAAACTATTCCTACCAAGCCTATCAACCTTGTTTGCACATGTTTTAAATTGGTTAAGTATCACCTATCCATGTGGGGTCTAAAAGGTGTGGTGCCTCACACCATAGCTGAACTWAATTCACAACTTGCTGCTTCTCCTTGAAAATATATCAATGCACACTTCTGTAAAGGTTCAAAATTCTTACAATTCCTTTTCAAGTCACCAGAAACATATATTGAAAGACTGGACTGAAATAGTTTAAGGTCTYAAAACATTTCCAATGTGTAATGCTTTAGTACAGGCCCTTTTAAGCCTACGAGAAAACGTTCATGTCAGAAATGGAAAATAATACTAGTTGGAGCTGTTCTACTGCTTGCAGCCAACAATTCAACTTCTCCATTTGTAGGATTTTAATACCAGAATTTAAAAAAAAGTCAAAAATTCCACATACCTACTTGCATCATAATAGCTTATARATAATGAACTCTTTAAACAGAGCTGTAAGTTCACATAAGTTTATCCTGTAAAACACCCTGAATTTGAAGAAATCTCAGAGAARATAACTCTATGAGTCAAACAATCACACATACCCTTCTCTTTCATAAAGAAAAGGAAAAACTTTTTGTTCTTACTTCAGAACAGTTTTCACTTTGATAAAAGTCCAGAGATACACTGTCCTACCCTTGCCCCATTCTAACAAKAAAAAATAAATTTACAAATATACAAGATACTAAAAAATACATGAACACCGAGAAAATTCCCACTTACGTGTGAAAATGTGTGCCTATATGCAGCTTCAGGTACATGATAACCCTACCAGAAAGCATTTTTCTTGTCAGATACCTCTTATTAGTTATTTGTTTAATCTCTGTACAGCCAGCTCTCTCTTGCATTGAGGCATTTGAACACAGGGCCATTCCAAAAACAAGTGAGGTAGCCAAAGAAAAGATAAGGCTGCATGGCTAGGAACAGGGTGAGGACAGTGAGATCTCAACTCCTCCTTTCAAGAGCACTTACGTTRGTTGACTCAACTGCTCATCAGACAGCAGTCTGTATTTCACCTAAATTTACTCTTTGGCTATGGGTTAGATGGTTTTTTTCCATAGTAGTCATCCAAGTGCTTTAATTGCCATAAGCAGCCTGAACCCTCTTCCTTCCCACCCAGCATCTTGTTTAACTGCAGCGTTGTACTAGCTGAAGCATTCCTACAAGAATGTGCTCCGAAACAGACTGGGGAAGAGATCTGGCTGCACATTCCCACGTCATTCTTTGTGGTCGAGGTATTACAGCTGCTAAAGCTGCTGCCTCAAACACTACTCCAGCTGGATGCCTGCTTCCCCTTAACCCCTGCTTCCCTGCTGAACATACACGTGCTTTTTCTGRGTTATCTCCTGAGAAAAGCAAGAGAAAGAAATTAAGCAGGAGACAGCTTAAATCTGCACTGAAGATTTAACTGCAGAAACAGCCAAGGCAGTGGTTTCCCCTATATCAGAACCACCTAGACCAGCACGGTCACACCCCCTCCACTGCTGCACCTCTCAGCCTCACATCCACACTTCCTTCCTCTGCTCAGCTCTGGCACGCATCTATCTGTGTGGCATTTTGGGTGCTCAACTGCTGAGATCTTGATCATCTTCCTTTGTCAGACTGTTACATTTTTCAATGTCTTAACACACTTAGCCAGATTTCTGGTACAGTCAGGCCAACAGAAGTGTCAGCACGAGACAGAAACCCAATGTAAAAGAATTTTACAGCAAGACGGAGCAAGAGTATGATTGCAACAGCAGCAAACAACTTCAATCGCTTTAAACTGTCTCCTGTTATACCACAGTATGAGAAAAATGTGACAGAAACCTAAATCAACTTTTCCTAGCCAGAAACTGCTGCTATAAAGGCTCTCCAGTGTGCTGAAGCAGTAAGAATCAGTACTACTCAATGAATCTACTGCCTTCTAGCACTCTGCAAATGTTAATTAAGATTCAGAGTATTCTAAGTGAAAGACAAGTAATGAMGATTTTAACACTGGATCTCCCTAGTCTTTCCCTCATTCACTAAATAGCATACATGAATCCTCATCCCAAACTAATTTCAAGTAAGAAAAACATCGTGTCTTAGATGAAGTATCTAATTTTACATTTWGCTTTATGAAACTAAATCACTGCTATTTTTATTACTAAATGTGGGAACCCAATTCAAATAACGAAGACTACCATAACGCTTTCCTRACAGCAGACTGTGGAATGTACAGTTTACCATGGAACCAAAAGGACAGTTACATGTCTGTTCAGACTCTTAGTATTTGAAGAACATGACAACAATCACAAAGATACTTCCAGAAAAGAAAATAAACATCTCCCTCATGACCCCTGCTTCCTGACTTTTAATTCTGCAGAACCTGACATCATTCATGCTGGAAAATTACTTATCAACAGCAATAGTTTTTTCAAACCTAAATCTCAGAAGGAAGCTTTCCTTGGAAAGCCTCAACCATTTTTTTTGTGACAGATTAGAACAATGGATATTTACCAGCATGCACAGAGACAAAAAACAGGGCAAGTCACCTCTACCCTTCACCACTYTTACTGCCAGAATTTCATGATGGACACAAAATTTTTGATTCATTTTAGCAAGGAAAATTCATCTTTGAACTCTAGTCAAAAAACGCACGTTAAGCCAACAGAAAACCACCACAAACTTACTCTCTAGTTCTTCTTTCTCAAAATTTGTATTGATAGTAGAGCTGATTTTGCCCATATCCACAACAGCTTCTTCATCATTACCCTGAAGAAACAAAACACAAGTTTAAGTTAAAACTAAATAGAACTATTTTTTTTCCTAATATGTTCTGAAAGAGTGTGTCATYACTGAAAACCTACCCATCCATTTTTTCAAGAAAACATTACCCTGTATTRAAGGAAAAAAAGAGTAAATTAACAGATAGGCTAAATACCATAAAATTACCTTCTGCAATGCTCTTGATTTCATCATATCAACAACTAGGACACATATTCCAGAAGTGCAGTATTCTTTTAGTTTTTCATTCAACAGTACTCAATCTACTTCAATAAAAACACCGGTAAATTTATAAAAAGTTCCAGAAACTAACATTCAGAAATCTTGAACACACAATTCTGGTGTGAGATTTTCCAGCACAGATAAGAAGCTTTTTTGAACTAAGGGGTAGCAAAAAGTTAGGTTACACAACTTGGGGGTCTTTCCCAGAGCAACAGCTCTGGAAAGATCAAAATAACTGCTTCACTCAGGTTTCAACRGCCACTTGTTGTTAAAGTTAATTAACTATTTTTTTTTTAACCTACAAAGTAAAAAAAGCAGCAGTTTCAAGCACACCTGTTCAGCTTCCACTACAATTGAAACCACACCCCTCAWAACRCACATTTRAAAGATACAGGCTTATCTCTGAACTTGTCCTCTAATCACATTTAGCACATCACTAAAGCAGACCTGAAAACYACCTTTTGCTCAGTCTTAACAAAAATGAAGTAACTGAACAGCAGAAACTTCAAGCTCATCTCAGACTTGACATCAAAACAACAATAAAGTTGCCTTTYTCCACGTGTCTGCATTCCTTAAAATAAAGTCCAGCTCACAAATTAAAGCCTCCTGACAGAGCTGGTTCTCAAAAAAAAAAAAAATGACAGCCTACGGGTAATGCTTTACATCCAAGTAGACAGGCAAGGCTAACTGCTTAAAGATTACTGTTCCTGCTCTTTCTGCTCCCTTGCAAACACACCTTTTTCCTTAAGTCAGACCTAACCATCATGAAATCAGATCAAAAGTCCTTAAGTAACAGATTTATGTGTTTTTTTAGCTTTCTGTTTAACAACTTAATTAGTTTGCTATTGGATCAGCTCACCTAAGTGACTTTTCATGAGGCCATATGACAGCTAGATCCACCACAAGTTTATCTGTTTGATCACTGCTTCTAGCAGCATTTACATTGATCTGATGCATTTACATCAGTCCATGGAGGAGCTGTGATAATGGTTTCACGAGAGAAAAAATAGAAGCCTAAACAGGAGTCTTACAGGGACTGTGAACCCTAATAGTGTTGACATTCAAGTAAACTTTGGTCTCATAAATATGCAATTGCTTTATATATAGAACAAGTTTGTCACCTCACAGGAAAGTGGCCAGGATGAAAAACAACATACCTGTGTGTAACAGGTACAAGCTAAAACATACTGTATCAATTCCCGCCCACAAAAAAAAAAAAAAAATTGAACACAGAACCCCTTGATCTCTACAAAAAATATGTTTATTATAGTATATTGTACATACATAAACAAAATCTAAATCTTTATTTAACTATTGAGGAAAGAAGATTAAAGAATATGAATGTGATAACCACCAACATGCTGGGAAAAAAAGTCAAATGAGGCTTAAAAAAAGGTTTTTGTTTTTTCGATTTGGTTTTTTATGYAGCAGCTAGACCACATAAAAAGCCAAAAGCAGCTGACACAGGTAAATAAGTAAAAATACAAGAGGAAAGYGTAGCACATGGCAGAGTAAACCTCTGACAACTAAATACAGGTCAGTTTTGAGCTGGGTCCCTAAAAACAGGATTTTCAAGAAAAGCATTACACCATTATCTAACTTTGTCACTACTACTGTATTGTAGTGACAGTAGAGTTTTGCAGGCACGTTAGAAAAATTAAAATCCTGTACACTCTACACAGCAACAATTTAAAAAATTGAGCTGATGTCTGTTGGGCAATGTGAAAATGTTCCAAGGGCCTGTTAATAAAGAAGTGGCAGAAATTTTTTAAGTGTCATGGTAATAAGATGGGAGGGGAACATGGGAGAGAAACAGTATATTCCTGTCTCCTACATAACAAAATTGAGAGTACTGTAGTGCCCTCCAGTTCACAGAAACAGATATACACAGTAACACTGCACTTTACCAGGAAACTCCAAGTAGGGATGGAAACAGATGGATGAATTACAAATACTCTAAACTACTTTAAGTGTTTTATTACATGTGAATGGGGAAAAARTACTAATAATAGGAAAACTGCTATCAAAACCTGTTCCATGATTAGCTTCATGGTTACAATCAGGGACTTCTGCAAAATCCTGTACCTAAACACACCAATCCCCACTAGTCCTTTTAGGTTACTTGAAATCTTGCAAAACACAGTTTTTGAGCTACAAAGGAARACAAAGTTTTTCTCCAGATTATACAAACAAATGCATACCAATAGAAAACTACATACACACTGTGAAAAATACACACACAAGGAAAGATTTTTATCTCCCAATAACATTTTGAAATTGTATTTGCTGTATGCCTACATCATGTTATTAATTTTTATCACCCTTTGCTTTAGTAAAAGAGATTCTCTGCCAAACTCATATAYACAGAAGCAGCCTTCAAAAACCACACCATGTGAAAGTAACATGTCTTTTAAGATTAGATTACAGAAAGGCATGCATGCCCTTGCAAACCGTTCTGCCACTATCTCAAAGTACTCAACATATGCAAAGACTCTTCCAAGAATAAACCATTGACAACCACAAATATCATATGTGAAGGAAGCATATCATTTACAGCCTTTGTTCARAAAAACACAAAGCATCATTTTAACATATCTGTTTTGTGATGCCAAGACCAAATCCCAGTATGAGATACTTATGCCTTAGGTCAGGTAAAAAAAAAAATCAAAAATATTCAAATACATTATAAAACTAATTCCAAACTGCAGCCTTTTCCTGGTTAAAAATAAAGTCTGTAGGGCATAGATTTCCAGTAATTATAGATGATCTATGTTGTCAGTTAAAGGCACTGAAGGGAGGGAAAACATTTACAGTTGCCATTTTAGTTCTCTCTTCTATTTTCTAAAGTTTTTAAATAAACAAAGAACAGTTCAGATTGTTGAGAACTTGTCAACTTCCCTGTTTTAGGCAGAGAATGACTGGATCTTACTTAAWGCAAGTATTCCTCTGCAGTTTACCATTCACTTCATGTGAAACTTTACACACATTAATCCCACAGATGCACAAATACAGCTCAWGTAGATGAGCCAAAGTAAAATTCAAGACTAACTTAGAATGAATGTAACTTTCATTTTTAGTCAGAAGACAGAACAATTGAGAAGGGGGGAAAAAAAAAACCAATATAAGCAGCAATTAAGGTGCCCCAGGGAGACATTAAACCTTCACCTTCAAACCTTTGGTTTGCCTTTCTTTTTAACAAGGAAAAGGTAATTTATAAAAACAGAACAAATCCAGAGTATTTCAAAGGAGAAAAAAAATAGCCTAACACATTGTTTCAAGATACACTACACTGTATAGTCCATGATTAAATATACACTAAGTATATTTTTTCCTAACACCATATTTTTGGATACTCACAAACATACTACAGAAACCACCCTCCAGTAAAACCTTCATATTCAGCCAGAGGTACCTGCATACACTAGAACCTGTCTTCTCAGCCTTCTAACTCTCCTCAGCATGAAAATGAAATCYCTTTTCAACTACTATAGATCAGACAAGACTTTCAAACACTCAGGGCTCCAGCAGACTCTCAGTAGGATTCCTCTTGCCTGCTCTGGTTTTCAAATGTCTTTTCTCAGTCCCTGAGAAAAGAGTAATTCCCCTTTGCAGAGAAACAAGCACCAGGAATTGTTAACACTGCTTTTTTACTTTCTCAAACTTCTGTCATCATTTAGCACAATACATCTTTTGTATCCACCATATTAATGCAACATGCTTTTTAAAAGTAATATTGAAAAAGAAGTYGATCCTAAATTGCATGAATCATTAAGGAAAGCACTGAAGTCAGGAAGAACTGACAACCTCCAGCAGTATGTGGTAGTTGCAGTCTAAGGACTAGTACGAATATGACGCATGGAGTATTAAATCCAAAGACAAGTTTCCACTGTCGTCTCTACAAGCACTTCTCACCATGCAACTCACTTAACCTTGTGCAGTCACACAGACACAGATTTCAAACAGGCATGCTGCCAAAGGGCATTACTGAATAACCACTTCCAAGACAGACAACTTGCTAGAAGCACATTTTTAAGGTACTTGAAATACAGTTGAATTAAATCATTCTAGTGACAGACCGTGATCATAAATGGTTGGTACAGCTAACTGTAAATCTTTGAAATCTACGAACAATACAGTAACCATGTTAAGAATAATTTGAGCTCAACATTTAAGACCATTATTTAGCCAAACAAATGTTCATGTCCTCTATTCACATCCCCTCAGACCAAAGTCCTTCCCCAGCAGAATCAGGAAGTGATTTTCAGCACCAAGTGACTGTACTAGTGCTCATGGAAATAAGTAAGTAGGACATAAGAGAGGGCACAAACAAACGAAAAAAGCCTCCATAAACACCATCACACCTCCTACCCGCAAAAAATTACATTACCATTTTCATGCTACAAAGAAGCTTCACTGCAGCATTTATTGAAGTAGGTATAAATAAAGGGGGAGGAAAAAAAAAACCACACAAAAAAACCCCACCACCCCTACACAAAAACCAACCAACAAAAATGAACTAATCCCAACTCAGGATGGGAAGGAAAGTGTGCACTCATATAACTATTCTCCTTTATATATCTGTCCCTGGTCAAGAGTTAACACTTCTTATTTTAATAAAATTCTAATACAACTGCCTACACCATCACAGTGAACCTACATACTGCTTTGTAATGGTAACCATATCCCAACCTCTCTGGCTTGAAGAGAAGAGAAATAGTTCCTCCCTCCTTCCCACAAGACCCCATGGATACATCTTCGCTTCCGCAGACAGGAGAGATCTGGCAGATGGGATTTAGCTCTTAGGCTGGAATGTGGCACCAACAAATCATTCCTCTCATAACAGGAGCACACACACCCTTGTTACAGACCCAACTGGTAAACCTTGTAGCATGCTACTGTAGATATACCAACTCAGATCCAGCATGAGAACTTGCGCACAGCGCATTTTGCCTTTCACATTTTGTTCTTCCTTCTTTCACCACCAGTAAGCACRTAAGAGCAGTTCAGCTGATCAAACCATCCATCAGCGTGCCATCTGCGAGAGGACACAACAGGAGAGGCCCACAGCAATACTGCAAACTGAATCAGTGTCAATGGTGGCTTAACCCAAACTTAGGAAGCACAGCCAAAAAAGGACTTCTGTTCTATTATCAGCCCTCCTTTGCTGCATCTGTATTCAGAAGACAGGTATGACTACCATCAAGAAGGGCTCCAGTGACAAATCCAAAAAAATTAATTAACAAAAGATTGTCAATATTGCTCTGCTTCAAAAATAAAGGTTTGGCTAGAAAAAGGAATTAAAACCTTTAGTTTGACCATATATCTCAAAGACAACCAAATAGGAATTTAAAAAATCTCACTTTGCAAATGTATCCAAATACATGTGTGTATATCCATAAAATATTTTAAAACTGACCTTTTTCAAAAATAGATTCATTCATTTGTTTTGTTACATAGGTATTGAAATATACTGTTCAGGRTAATTTAGAACCAGCAGGGTAATTAACAATTCATTTTCACAGCCACATTTCCCAAGTGGTCTGTTTCAGAAGCCTGCATTTCTGTTCTGGGCACACATAATACTCCACGTAGTCAAGAAACAAAATACATCTCAGATTTACAGAATGCACATACAACTCCCTTTCTATCCATTCAGCCCCACAGCGCTGCAAGTTAATAAGCCTAATACTTCAGGGAGTAAAAAATAGACAAGACCAGTGTTGTAGACCCCACAAAATTAGTAGATTAAGTCTACCAGGGACAGCAACCCTGAAAGTGGTAAAAAACCAGAAAAGCAGTGTATTCGTTAAGGCCATCTCTGTATACTGTATGCAGAGTTGAATGGCAATCACTCTACCTCAGGCAATCATCAGGTCTACCCTGTAGCACTGCCACTGCTACACACAGCACCAAGTAGCCTTAGTTGAAAGTGAGTAAACAGGAAGGGCTTGTTGATTTGGTTTACCTGCAGGGACAACTAACAGCAGTTCTTGGTAAGTTCTAAATATATTGTTTTACTTCTCTTTCAGACTGATTCTGCTTTTAAACCAGAGGTAAGATGAGCTCACAGTAGGCAGGAGGGCAGGCATCTCTGGTAGCTGCCTCCTTGAAGGACAGTCAGGATACAAAATAAAACCAAAATTCTTTCTAAATAACAGCCAGTGAAGGTATTAGGCAGTCTACTAAAATATTCAACTTTAGTTGAACGGCACAAGAGGTCCTACAGATGTACTGGAAGCAAGTGCTTTGGTCACAGTCTCTACAMAGCAATCTTCAAAATTTGCCCGAGTGATGAAACACTACCAGTTCTAAATCAAGCACGTCAACCTAACAGCCAAGGAAAAATGCGCCAAAGATAAATGAGCCCTATCTCATTTTGTCATCATACAATTTTTAGCTGCCCTCCCCTCTAAATATATACAGATGAGAGCACAATTAATAATAATTCACAAACAGAGCACTTGCCAGGTTTAAAATAGGAAGCATACTGTTGATGGGTTCCCYCTTAATTGTACTTTCTATGGTCTTCACAAAGGAACAGCTGCTTTCCAGAGTTTTTTCCCTCTACTCTGTTAGCAGAGGGTATTACTCAAGCACTACAGGAAAAACTCCAGTAAAGTTCAAAGGCTTTGCTATCAGCACACACACTTCCTTTTCCTGTGAATTTTATCTGTGCTTATGCAATTCCTATTTTACATAACAATCCTCACATGTAAATGAAGGCCCCTCCTAATCAAAGCAACACTCAGAGCCTCCAAGGAAGGTCTGACAATTAGATGTCTTTCAGTAAGACCATAACTATAACGAAAGAGGTTAGGGATACTTACACACGTTTTTTTAGCCTACTAATCCTCTAATTAACTGCTCAGCTTACCTTACTAAATACATCTGACCAATCTGCTCTTAGAAGACTTACAAAAACAAAACAGCTATACAAACCTTGTTTGGAMAAGTATGTCCAAAAGACATCAACAGACTTCAGTCAGACTCTCCAGAAGTTGCACTGTACTTTTAATTTTCCAAAACTGTATGTGGAAGGCACTGAAGATATGTACGTACTACTTAAACACCACAAAACCCAAATGCTCTCAGGAAAATGCGGTTCTAAACATGCTAATGTTTTGCTTCTTGAACTGTTGAAATCTWATGTTTATAAGTAGTTTTATCTCAGTTCTAGCAGGCCTTACTCCAGCCAGGGTCACACTGAGCACCACAACCTGCCAGAGAAGCCATGTCCCACACCAGAAAAATTAAACATGTCCTTGGACAGTAAATTAAGTGTTTGCGTTAATCAGAAGGGAAAATTAAATTGGGAGAAAGTTTGAAAGGAAACATAATACCAAAAAGAGACTGGCCACAGCTGTGAATGGCTATCAACTACGGCACACCACAGCACTTCATCAAGTGGGTTAGAACAAGCTCATGAAAAAGGGATGGCTTGATTACTAGCAAAGTRTGACTAAGATACAAGTGAATATTTGATTAAAATTCAATTTGAATTCAACCTGAGCTTTCTGCAAGGCAGAAAATTCACCACCATGCATAAACTTAGCAAATACTGTCACCAATCCAACACAAGATATCATATTGCATAKCTAATATTATAGTAGCTATTTTATGAAGTTGCATTTTATCACTGCTTCAGAGTACTAAATTTCATTCAAAAAAAATCCSCATCTCCATTCATGTAAATGTAATTAAGTGAATTCCTGAAATTACAGGTAAAAAAAGCAGAAGTACTGTAACGTTTACAACTAGTCACCTCGTATCTTTGCCTAGTCTCCTAGACATATGCATGCTTGATAGAGTTCTGTGCCCAGAGCTGAAAGCATCACAATGAAAACCAAAAAYTGAGCATTGTACTACAGAGACCCTGGCAAACAAAAGACCTCTGCAATGTGATGCACTTTAACACACCTCTTACTTCTTATGATCACACAAGGAAATAGAAAATTTAGTTGTCATATATAAAATAATTCAGGCATCCTTAGAGTTTTACATCTGAGGAAAATTCCACCCCCTAGATTTTAATTTCCAGGAATCTCTTAAATTAGTAATCCCTGTTACATACTGCATTGCAGCTACATGGCAGTGGTAATCACAGCCCTTACAACTGTAAGCAAAAGCTTGTAAACACTAATACTAGACTTCGCTGCTTCATTGTACAAATCCCCACAAATGGAGTTTTGCATCTGTGCYACCAAGGTCTGAAGAAAATGCTATGTCCATGAACATTTTGCCTCATTTTACACAGTTCATTAAATTCTCTTTTCTTTTTTGTCAAAAATTAACAGTTAACTGGCTATTTCAAGATTCTCTACCAGAAACATCCCTGCTACACTTGCACAGAACCAAGCAAAGCCACAGCTGATAACCTTCACATTTAGAAAGGCTGATTCAAAATAATGCAAAAGAAAAAGGAAAAAAAAAAAACCCAACCCAAAATACTCAACCACTCTAAAAGTCTGGTAGTATACTGTCACAACTGTAAAAGCRCATTTTCTTTCTGAATTAGGCTGGTTACTACGATTAAGCAATTCTAACAACTCAGCAAATATCTTCCCTAATACARAAATCTCTGCTCGAACTATTACTTCTATCACCAGATCTTTCAAAAAATTTCTTTCACAACTAGTGAGTTTAAAGGTAGCACACAATTCTGAGCCACAGCTGCTAAATATCACTTGCACCAAATCACATTTGAGCCATTATTCCGTTACACAGCTGCTATTTACATACAGGTTGCATTTTCTTCCCTTGACGAGCTTCTTCCATGCTGATGTGCAGAAGCGGAGAATGTCCTTGCCCGAGACCCTGTAATGAACCTCCCAAGAGATCAGAGCCTGCGCATACATGACTGCTTTAGCTCGCTGTGCCTGACACAGATGTACTCCGGGAAATTGCTCCCCAGCCAATCGCTCCCGCTCCACTCGCTCATCTCCCAGGCCACTGATTACGGCTACCGCAGGGTCACACAGCAGCAGAATGGGCAAGACGGCATGCCTTCAATTCCAGCTCAGGGAATACCAAAAAAGGAACTGAAACTGAGTTCCAGACTTAACATTTTCTGCATCAACAGCTGCTAAGGACAGCTCCGAGGTAATATTTTTCCTCTGATCCAAGACTTCATTAGCACTACAAAACAAAAATGCATTTGTATCTCGGGTCCCAGAACAGAACAACCCAAAAGTCAAACATCTGCTAAATGTGTTTATAGCTGTATTATCAACCTTTCACCGAATACTCATTCCAATGCAGGTGGGTTGTTTTGGTTTTTTTTTTTCCACACAAGCCATATATTCTTTTCAACAAAATAAAACAAGGCTTCCTAAAAAGAAAAACCTATTTTTYCCCCCTCCTGTTGTTAACAAAAAAGCATTTTTGTTAGCTGCAATTAATCTCAGGCCTCCTCCCACAGTAAGATCTCTCTCTGTTCCAGGTATGACATGAGTAGCTGTACCTTTTTTTCTTCCTTAAGCCAACTTTAGGAAAATRCAACCTCTGCTCCAGTAGATAAAATTCAGAACTTTGTTTCTTCATTTCACTCTTTCCCTCTCCATCACTGACATACCCTAATCTCCTTGTCCCATCATAAAATGCATGGGAAAACTGGCTCTTTAAGGAATTACCTATAACTTAACCTTCAAGACATGCCACTGCCTTCCTTGTTCCTTTTTCTTCTTTCATTCCTACTTCTTGTTTGATGAGAACTCTAGCAATGAAGCTAGACTAGTGCCACCCAAGCCAACAAACAACTTGGACAAAATAAAACAAGTAACATACTGTCTGAACCTGGTGCAAAKAGATTGTGCAGCTGTGAAGATGGTATGTACCACCTAGCTGAAGAGAAATCAGAAGGCCACATTCAGTTCCTCTCACCACCTCAGTCCAGAAAATTCTCTGACCATAGGCTAAYAGAAGTATTCTCAGATAGTGCTGACAAGAGAGTTTAAAAGTAGTTTGTTTCCATTCTGTAAATAGAAGTTCACCCTAACACACGTACRCATCCTTTCACTTGCAAGCTATTGAAAGCCTCTCTGCTGCCATACATAAATGGCTATAAACAAAATTATTCACAYAGGAAGCACAAAGTTAAACAAAAATATCAGATACTCTAACTCTTAGTGATCTCTTCTCAACTGTGCATCTTAWATCACACCTATTCTTTCCCTAACACAGAGCACGGATTCATGCAGCTGCATAGAGTAATACTGAAACAGCTGTGCTGAAATGTGTCCTGGTGGCTCTCCAACACTTCAGTGCACTGCTCCATACTAGAAGTAATTCAACTGCTACAAGAACAAAAATATACTCCTTTAGGTTGGGGGTTAGGTATTACTTTCAGATAGAATAAGAGGGGTGGGAATCACACATTTGATTTTTTCTTTTTTTTTATTTTTGTAAGTTTGGGAAAAAATACTTGCTTGGTTTGAATACTTAAAAAGAAACCCCATCTCTCTGAAGCAGTTTATTGAAATGTCTTTATTGTCTGTAGTCAACTAATTCCTTGTTAATAGTCTTGGAACAAAAYGAACAAAAACCACTCAGAAGCAATATAAACTCTTTTTTTCAAATAAATGCAAGTTTTTGTCTTTTAAGACTCRTACCAAAACACTTTGTGGATAAACGTCTGCTCTTCCCTTAAGAGTAAATACCAGGAAAAAGCTTTCCATTAAATGAAGAACTGCRTAGCAACTTCAAACTGCAACTGTCTCAACATGTTTAACTACAGAAGTATTCTAAAACAAACTGTAGGCAAATATATTCAAAATTATCACATCCTTGAACATGTTCAGTGACAACACTGTGAGAACTSAGAGCAGAACTATTTGTACTGCAGCAATATTTTAACCATATGTTTGATGCTGCAAAAAAATCTCTGTGAAGTATATGAGGGCTTTTTTTAATATAAAAGGAACACAACTACCTATAACGAAACACGCTTTTTTCCCCTTCAATCTTTGCTTCTTGATTTTTACTTTTATAGCCCTTCAAGTTCCACTTATTTGACCTTATCTCAGTCTTTAAAATCACATTTTTGAAAGATGGGTCCAAAAGAGTATGTACCTCTCATCTAGACAAAAAACAAGTRTTTCATCTGAGCTCTTACATCTTTGAAAATCTTTTCATCTTTTCCCAAGTGATACACAATTCTGATCCCAGTCCATCATGAAGTGGCAGTGAACTGCCTCACTGCATGGTCTGCAGAGTGTCTAGCAGGCAGAGCTGTGCTTAATCTGCCATTCYGAAATGGCAGGACATTTAAAGTAGCTGCAGTAAGCAGGACTGAGCTCTCAGCAGGATTTACCACATGAGCTCCAGCCCAGCTGCTATCGGACAGAGCCAGATATGAGCACAAGAAAACAGAAGGCTTGTTTGCTTGCAGAGAAACTATACTGACATACCCACACATGCAGSACTGTAAACTCATATATCTAGTGTGAGGTTTCTATTGATACTTGAAAATCCTGGTTTGGGGGGTAGGGAGGTAGGGTGTTAAGAKTTTCATCCATAATCCAAAATCAACCCTTCCTTATATGAAATTACATCAGGGAACTGGAGTTGATGATCCCTACATGTCCCTTCCAACTCAAATTAGTCTGTGATACTATAATTATATTTTCTAACATTGCACTCCAAAAACACCAACCCAGTCCACTGCCACCTTTCTTCATGCAGCTGAAACGACAACATCTAAGAAGCTCAACATGTATCTCTTTAGGAAATAACAAGAAGCAAGAAATACTTATGAGAAAGCATGACAATACTTCTAAATGAGGCTTTATTTTGGAGGGGGTGAGGGCGGCCAGGCCATGGGGGAGTCAGGAGGGAGGCAAGGTGCTAGGGAATTAAGATGAAGCAGGAGCAAGTTGTACCACAGTTTAAAGTTAGTATGACAGATACCTCTACAGATGGTTTTGTTCAGCTTCTTATCAAATGGGAACATATTAACTCATATTAAGAATAGCTTCCTAGGTGTTTCTTCCTACAAAATTAAATATAAGGTATTCCTCTAAGAAAATGTTACTGCCTTAGCAAGAGAAGACAGAAACCTTTGTAGGCTGTGGCTCACCATTTAATGAATTTAAACATGCCATAAAACCCAAAAGTCTGACTGCCTACAAGTACTTTCCAGAATACAATTTCTGTGTAACAGCCAGTTCCCAAGACATACATCTGCACAGCAAGCTTCAGCTTGCCTCAGTTTGCAATGGCACGTACACATGGAACTGGATGTTTCCAAAAAAAGAAAGAGATAGAAAAAAGATAGATGTATTCTGTACAGATAKTCTCTGGTGTATTGCCCCAGCAGGACTCCTAGGTTTCTCAGCACATTGCAGGACAGCTTTCAGAAGCCACCAGGATGCTGAGAGCAAACATGAGGCATATCAGTAGTTCAAGCCCTCCTGACATCACACAATTGCACATCGTTTGGACAGCTAAATACTTATTCTCTAGAGAAGATACCAGTGAAATTTAGAACCTGAACCCTCATTAACAGCAAGATTACTATGTTCTCTGCTGTACTATGTACTTCTTCATTAATCACCCCACATCCTGATCTGAACACACTGATGAAGTAGAAAAACAAAAGATATGTGTAAAGTTTTCCAGGACTTGTTCCCAGACTCAAAACCGTCCCTCAGTATAGATGGATGAAATCCATCACGTTCCAACAGAACCCCACCAAGATTTTACACCAGCATGGATGAGCACGTGGTCAGCATACAAATGGCACTGAGTTAGGCTAGGGAGGGTTGGGTGACTTGATTTGTTGGGGTTTTCAGGAGGTTGGGGTTTTAAACTTTGGATTTCTTTCTTTGGGGTGGGGCTAGGTGGGTGGGGTGTGGAGGAATGGGAGGGAGACACAGGAATTCAAAGATGCTCACTTTACAACTGCAACATATTTCTCATCACTTCCCTTTAGCTAAATTCATCTTGAGGCATTCTAGCAGCAATTTTGAGAGATATTCTGATTTTTCCTTATCCTGATCCTAAAATAGTCTTGGAGCACTGTCAAAGTTCACAAGCACTACAAACCAGGGCTGTTTCAATACTATTAAGGCCACCTAACCTAATGTTTAATTGCTCTACAACCACTTGTACAAATATTCTGATTCATGGAGTAGTTTGGGCTGGAAGGGGACCTGAAAGATCCCCTTGAAGTTCCAACCTCCCTGTCATGGGCAGGGACACCTTTCACTAGACCAGAACAGAATTTCACTGCTGAGAGATTCAGCCTGGCCTTGAACAGTCCAGGAATGAGACATCCACAGCTTCTCCAGGCAACCTGTTTTGGTGCCTCACCACTCTCACAGTAAAGAGTTTTCCCTAACATCTAATCTAAACCCACTTTCTTTCCATTTGAGCCTACAACCCTTTGTCCTGTCACTACATCTGCTTGTAAATAATCTTGTCCCATCTTTCCTGTAGGTTCCTACACAGGAAAGGTCACTACTGGAAGGTCACAATTAGGTCACTCCAAAGCCTTCTTTTTCCCAGGCTAAACAATAAGTCTCTCAGCCTTTCCTCATAGAAGATGTGTTCCATCCCTCTGATGAACTTTGTGGCCCTGCTCTGGACCCACTCCAGCAGGTCAATGTCCAAATATTAAAAACTTATCCTCTAGATTAATTCCCCARAATAGATGGCACCATTGTGAACAGCTGGTGAGTCCAGATATGAAGCAGCATAATAAGAGACTGATAATTTTATCTTGTTTTTATTGACATTATTTAAAGTGCTTGCACAAGAAGGGCCCCTGACAGCAGATC